ATAATATGGAAAATTGCAATGGCCGTATATGTATCTACGTTACAACATATGGTACTTCAAAATGCAGGCAACCGATAATTACTTGAAGAAAATAAAATAAATACTGTTTTGGTCTATCTTTTTATTTACAGATTATATAAATTTAATAGTTGCAAAAGATTATATTGAAATGAAAGACAAAAGATTTTTTATCCTTTTAAAGCACAAATTATATTCACTCACTTTCTTTCTCTCTCCCTCTCTCTCTCTCTCTCTCTTGCTTTGTGAATCTATTTATTGAATTTCTTTTGTCTCGTGTATATTAAATAGTTTATATTGAAATAATTTTAAGCTACTCCAAGTGATAATATTATAAGTGATATCTTCATCGCTCCTTTCCTTTTAATATATTTTTTTCTATTTATTGAAACAATGAAAAAACTTAAAAGAGAATAAACTATTTTATTATTAGGAATTGACGAAATACAGATTAATTATTGAACCCTCTTTAAATATAATTAACTAATCCCTCATAATTTCAAAAATACCATATTTAAATAAGCAAATAAAATAAGTTGTTTAAAATATAAAACATCTTAGGAATATTCAACTTTTTCTAAGTAGAAATTAATTGTTCTTACGAGATAAATTTTAATTCATGTTTATTACATTTATAGAGGATCAAATATAACATTTTTCATGCACATCCGATTTAACTTACACAAATAGCATAGAATTCTATTAAAGAAAGATATATATATATATATATATATATATATATATATATTCCTGTACATATATGTACATACAAGAAGTTAGAATATATATACATACAAGGAGTAAGTAACGTGGTCCTATATAATGAAAGTAGCCGAGCAACGATGTATGGCACGTTTAATGTTAGCTTCGTTCGCATACAATTATATGTGCTCCGGATGCGCCATTTCCTACACAAGATGGAATAATTATTACGCTTGACAGAACTGTTGCTCTGTGGCTTACGTGTATTCTGTCTTCTTTGCGATTCTTTCTCACGTTGTTTTCTGGACATTTTCTCATGCATATCATTAAGTATGGACTTATGAAAATAGCTGAGAAGCCCAGAGAGAGAGAGAGAAAGAGAGAGAGAGAGAGAGAGAGCTATGTGACGCTACTGAGGTGAGGTCCTAATATTTCGAGATTCCGGAAGCCAAAATGAGTGAGGATATCAAGATACAGAGAGAAAGAGAGAGAGAGAGAGAGAGAGAGACAGTGTGTGTATGTGTATATAAATACCTGAGTGAGAGAGTATGTATATATATACATACATATAAATTTTTTTTAAGAATGAGAATTTAATGACAGAAGCTGAAATTTCATGCTGATTACAGTATAAATTTCGTAACTTATGCTTTATACGATAAAAGGGAATTTTTTCTTCTTTTAACATGCTTCTCTCCGTTTTATTTACCATATATCTAAGATATCTAAATTCTTGAATTACCTTCAATATTTTTACGAATTCAAAAGAGAATACATATTAAAGCACGATTTATTTTGAAAAGGTCTTCATTTTTCAATTTCACGCGCAAACAACAGTAGCATTTAACTGTTTGAAAGCAGCCTTCAAATCAATAAAACTCCAACAATTAATAAAACTACAAATTTCTTATTTTGATTGATATGATTGATAAATTATCATAGTACATGTTATTCATATATAAAAAGAGCATATATAATTAACATATAATATTTATGATCTTTTTTAATATTTACATTCGTTCATATTATAAAAAGCGTTATAAAAACAAAGGAATTGGAAAAATAAATTTAAGAAACATATCTCCCTTTATACATGTTTTAAATTTTATTACGAACATTTATAATTATTACAAAATACATTGATGTATTTTTAGTGGTTTTTGTTATTTTATCAAATTTAATATTAAATTTATAAACATAATTGAATTCATCCTCAAAGAAAATAGAAAATAAAATACCTTAACGAAGTAGATAAGATATCAAAAGAAAATTATATTCTTAAATACTAATAAATAAATTTCTGTGAGGAGAAAAAATTGCAGTAAAGACATTACATACAAACAATGTATACAATGATGCCAAATAGTGAGCTTGTTTTTGAAAATTGATTTCATGAATAATTTCAGAAAGTTAAAACATGATTGAATGTACACTGTCCAATTTTCTTGCATTTACGGTCAATTTTCTGAAAAAGTGATATACATATAAACATATATATCATTTCATGAACAAATGCGAAAAATAAGATGTCTCAGGTTTATCTATTTATTTATTGTTTATTATGTTATCCCTGCATTTTTATAAAATAGAAATTTTTTCTTTATCATTTTTATATTTAGTTATCTTTCTTTTTTTTTTTAATGTAAACAACAATATTATTTTCAGCATATGTATTATACTATCCTGGTTTTTTCTGTGTTGTTTGCTATACCGTATTATTCTATATATATATATATATATATATATATATCGATATCGATATATCGATATTATAAATATCGATATAGAATATGGAAAAGGCAGATCGATATTATAAATATAAGAGCCAATATTAATAAAAGATCCCTTTTATATTTTATATTATTCAGATCACAAATTTTATAATTTTCGTATAAATAAAGCACAAATAATAATTTATTTTATGCACTTTAACAAAATTAAAGAAAATTGATATCCTTATAATAAATCCATATAGAGTAGGTTATACTTCACAATGTATTTTTGTAAGCTGTATTAGTTTGAAGCACAAAAACGCTTGAGAATTATAGTAAAATTATGGCAATTATACAGAATAAAACATTAAATACACTAAATCATTAATATAATGAAAATATTACACTTCTAAATGATTTTATTCACTTATATGTTCGACGACACAATTATTTTTAAGTATCTTTCGTTGTATCGACAAAAATTAGAAAAATAAAAAAGTTGAAAAATAATATTGGTAAAAACATATATTTTACTTATTTCTTCTGTGTTCAAAAAAGCCGAATAATATATTTTTAAATAAAGTGTAGTTGAATATATACAAGATTCGCAACGGTAACATTGTGAATCTTCAAAAATCCTTCTTTTCATCTTCTCATGATTTTTGTAATTTATTACTTACGACTATGTTGATCACTAAGTAGCTTATATATTTGAACTTAAGTAGATTCTACTTTTTTTTAATCAATGTATGTTTTATGATCATAAATAATTTCTTATTAAAATAAAAGTATAGTTAGTATATAAAGAATAGTTGATAGTATCAACTAAAGATATATATTATATAATAAAATTAGAAATAATAACAAATAAAAATGCAAAAAAAACATTAAATATAAAAAAAGAAGGTTTGATGCAACTTTTTAGGTACAGAAGAGAAATTAAAGAGGTACATATTAATATATAATTTTTATTTTGTTTAGAAAATAAAATAGTTAATATTTTATAAATTATATAATAAAGAATAACTAAGTATAAATTTTTAATAATTTATAATAAATTAAGTTGATTGTAATTTCATGAAAATATATGAAGCTTTAATCTAATTTTTTGATATAGTATCAGTAAATATATTTTTGATTTAATTCAATAAAAATAACTAAATGTCAATAAAATATATAAACATTAAATAATGACATTAAAAAGAAAGACACAGTACACAAAAATTATTAAAAAAAGAAAGCCAATTTTACATATTTCGGTATGCAAATAAAGAAGTTTACAAAGAAAAGTGAAATTAAAATAAATAACCGACAATAAATAGAAAAATACAGTATCTAAAGTATTTAAAATACTTAATTTAAATTTAAGAATCTGAATATTTTCATTGAATTTTAAATACATAAAATGGAAATAGTTTTACTATTACATTGTGATTGAATTAATATATAAAAATAATTTTTTAAATAAATCCATTTAATGGTGTAACATTTTTCTGTTAATAATAAATACACTTTTTATTTTTTCATATTAATAATAAGAGCACAAAATTTATCATTAATAAAAACATATCTTGCTTGAAAATATAAATTATTAATGATTTACACATATGTAATGTATATTACAAATAATAAAATATGTTTGAATAAAAAAAATAAAAGGATTTAATATGAAAAAGTTCTAACCATGATACAAAGATGGCACCTCTATGTTTAGAGCCCATTGATTTTATTTTGACTTGATACGTATTTTAATATTGACTTATATAAAAATGGTTTTTAATTCAATTATATAACTCGAATTCATATAATTTTCAATTTAATAAATTAACAATTCATTAACCAATTTCATAAATTTTTAAAATGATATAATATAATTTTTAAATTTACTAGACTATAAACATAATAGCTTATGAACTACGTGAATAAAAGAAACTATATTAATTACTATGTGGAGTAAGAAATAGAAGAATTACAAAAAAATAAAGTAATGACTAGAATATTTGTTTAACGAGATTAATAAAATCAGAAGTAATTAAATTAAATAATATTGATTGACAAAAATTGATTCTTAAATAAATAGAGTAAATGATAATTCAAAGAGACAATAAAAGTAGTGCTAGAGCCTGTCTTTTAATAATATTCTTTATACAATAATTACTTTACTAATACCTAGAAATGCTTTACAATTTTTAGTATTATTATTATTAACTTTACTATTATTGAATTATGCAATATGGAAAATCGTATTTTCATAGATTATTATTTTTTAAATATTTTCTATTTATTTTGTCATTCTTTTCATAATAAGATACGTACGACAATAAATACGAGCAAGACCGCTGATATTAAAATAATCTCAAAATGACTAATAATAAACTGTCAAGTATTGCAAATTATTGCAAGTAATGCAAATATTAATTATAAAAATAAAAAAATTATGCAAGTGAGTAATATGAGGTAAGAGATGTTGAAGGGTGGGTGGAAAAATCTAATACGGCAGATTAGGAATAGGTTATATATCAAGAGTATAAGGAATCTTGAATCAAAAATAAGAGGAGTGCAACTCACCCAGCCACTGGTGTCATTTTAAGTGCGAGCGCCCTGCTGATACAAAACCCGGCACCACCCGTGGCGAACCAAAATCGGACTTTCTGCTGCAACAAACAAAAGAACAAAGATCACATGAGATTGGTTAATACGCTATTTGGCTGTAAGATACATACTTGTGACACCCTTTCCGCCTCTCGCCCTTCCCCTATTACACCTTTAATGGTTTCACTCTTTACACAAGCAAGTTGCTTCTTTTACTTTAACTGGCTTTAACATGTGACACTTAAATTATTTATAATATTCTTTCCCGATCTCATTAAACTTTTATATATCTTTTTATTCTTTTCATAGAGGATGATATAAATTTCTTATTATGAATGTGAATGACGTAATTAATATCGTCATTAATATCGTTAAATAATTGTTAATTTTTTTCATTACATATAATAAGAATATTGATTAAATATATGATTTATATTAAAACGACAAATAATTTTACAATTTTTATATTAATCTATAATTAGAGGATTTAATTAGAGTTTTTGTATTGATAAACCTAATACATAAATGGATAGAAACGTTTTTAAATTGTAAATTGTTGATAATTGAAAATTTTATGATTATGGTCTATTTATGCTACAAAAAATATAACTAATGTAGTGGATGTTTAATATTTAGTAACTGGACTGGTAGATAATAGAAGGTCAATATCCAAAGGTTGATAAAAATAAGTTAATAAGTATATTCTTAATGATTGTTTATTATAACTCAACAGGCATCAATTTGACTTAGATTAACTACATGATTCTTCAAGGATTCATTTTGTCCTGTACTAAATGTTCGTTTCACGTATATATAGCTATCGGTCGCTTGTGATTAGCAGATCATCTTTTAATTTTATATATAAGAGAGAGAGAGAGAGAGAGAGAGAGAGAGAGAGAGAGAGAGAGAGAGAGAGAGTGGAAAGATAAAGAAAAAATTTAAACATATAAAAAATAAAAGAAAATATATCTTTATAAAATATATAATTATAAGAAAATTCAACAATATGTTTAACAAAAGATATTTTTGAGATGCATACAATATTAACATGTCAAATGAACAATGAAAACCAATCTAGAATATTTATTGGAATATTCTATTGGAATTTATTTCATTTTAACACTTATATATATATATATATATATATATATATATATATATATATATATCCAAATTTCTTTATTGTATATAAATTAATATATCATATTATCAGTTCCAACTGTAACTTACAAATCAAATAATCAAATAATAAAAAAATGCGTTCTCGTTACCCCTGAAAAAATGAAATTTGCTTGTGAACGAAAGTTATAAGAAAGAATGGAAAAAAAATGAAAATAATCTAGAAGTACAAACAAATAAGTAGAGACCACAAAATACGATAAATTATGAACGAGAGCGTTTCAGTGACACTAAATGTATCCCTTATGGATTCTCTATTCAAGTCTCTCCCCTCCCCCGTTCCCCAACAGTATAACTTCTACCGTAGTGGAGTAACGGTTTTAAATTTGCTCGTTGTTGGCTGTTTAACGGGTAAGCATGCACACTTAATAGAAAAGGGCTTCACCTTCGGATTTATGCGAATATTGCTCTGTGCGGTCTGATAATATCCCGTATAAACTATTCGTGCGCACTGGAATGACCAACACACCCCACCAACAAGTGTGCATACACGTTCGTACGCCTGTTTAGCCTGTAGCCTGTAGAACTAGATCGTATCACGTTAGTACTATCGATATATAAAAGTGAACTGATGAAGGAGTAAGAGTGAGAGACAGAGAGAGAGAGAGAGAGAGAGAGAGAGAGAGAGAGTATGAAAGAGTCCAAGTGGCTATCTTAGGTGAAGACGAAAAATCACCTTCAGCAACTTTATTGAAAATAAATTATTTTACTATGCTATGTAAATTGTGAATTAATTGTGCAAATAATAATGTTTTTAACCAATATTATTTTAAAAGATCTTTGAAAATGTTGGCTATTCATCACTCAAATAAACTAACTTACAATTCCAATATCTATTTATTTTTAATATTTATAAATCAAAATTAAGAATGTTTCTTTATAATTTACTACTATAATTTACCAAACTTACAAAAATATTTGCATTAACATACTTCGTGTAGTTCATGAAGCAAATTAATTTATAAATAAAAAAAAATATTTTCGCATATATTTATAATAGCAATAAAATGTATACACTCTTATATTGGGTACATATAGAATTATATAAATATAAATAAGAAACCGATGGTATTACTTATAAAAATAAATTTACATATGCATATATTTATATAATTAAAAATTATAAGAAATATATGACAATAGTATACATTTAATAGAGTTTTTTTAATACCATTCTACTTAGCTTTTTTTTTTCATTATATTTCTATAATATTCAGAAATTACCTTCCTTTTTTTATGTACTTTTTGCATTCAAGTTTTGAATACAAATATTTTGATATCATAATACTATAATATTTTACAAGTATAGCAGTCTATTCAGGTTTAATTGTGTATAAAGTCTAAAACTCTTAAAAGCTATTATAGATAAATTTATAAGCGAAATCTAATATAAAATCGAATTTCTTAAAATTCTATAGATTTATTAAAGATTTAAAAGAATATATTATACTGTTCATAATTTTAGTGTACTATAAATTATATATTAAACAGATAAAATTTCAAGGATAAATATATTAAAAAATGATATAAAAAATTATTAAATTAATGTATTTGATTAGAGAAATTAAGAAATCATTAAAATTTTAATTAAATTTCAAATATATAGAATAAATACAGAAATTAATATATAATAATATAGAAAACAAAATAAAAATTAAATATAATAACTAGTACTTCTTTTGTTTTGATATTTAAATAGTCGAAAAATATAATACGGAACAATAAGGCAAAATAAAATTTTAGTTTATTCAATTTTAATAATAAAATATGTAGCGCCTAATGTTATTAATGTTTAATGTTATTTAATGTTATCTCATAAACTTTTTTTATAGAGTCAAATAAAGACTTGTGTGCATAAAATTCTAAAAACCTATATATACATATATATATATATATATATATCATTTCATATAATTTTCATGTAAGCATTATCTACTATACGAATTTAATGGATCGCGAACTTCTTTTATAAGAATACCTTTACATATTTACCTTACATATGCAAAGACGCACACAAACTTGAAGGATATTTTTTTACAAAACAATAACGTCGTGGTTTTCAAACCACAGTCTCCAAGGCTTTTGCGGATATGCTGCTTTAGAGGATGCTTATGAGAGTCTGCAAGTGAGAACCAGTAAGAGAATGAAAGAAGAAGAAAAGGAGAAGAGAAGAGAGATAAAGAACAACAGAAAGAAAGACAAAAAGTGAAGGTGAAATAAGTTTATTTGGAAGCGCTTTTTATAAACTTTCTGAACTACATGGTCTATTATAAAGGATATGAATCAATTAATAATATAGCTACTTCTTAGGTATTAATATTCTTGTTCTAATACAAGTACAAAAAATACTGGTTTATGTGAATTTTAAGAATCATTTCGATTACAAATATTGAAATTTATACAGATATTGAAGATTTAAGAAAAAAATATGTATGTTTAAATATATATAACTAGTAATAAAAAGTTAATAATAATTTATTACTTACGCAGTGGTGATCAATTTCATAATGGCTTTTAATAGTCAATACGATAATAGCTTCTTAATTTATTTTAAAATATCTTATAGCAATTAAACGTATATTTTACATTATATGTATAAGGATCAACAATACAATAATCAAAATACAAATAAAGACAATAAATTAAATTCATTTTTATACAAAAATATTTCATGAATTTATTTATATTGGATATTATAATAGTTATTTAGACTTATGAAATTATTCTTATTCTTAAACTAAAGAATTAATAAAGTTATCAAAAGTCAGTATAATTACTGAAAAAGGAACAAATTAAACAAAATCAAATCAAATCGTTCTAAATACGTTTATTCGTCCGAAACTTGTAATTAAGATTGAATCTTAGAACGGAAATAGCCTAGAGTCTCGTAAAACATCAGAAAACTAAATAAAATGCTTTTCTACCTTTTTCTCTTTTTTGAGTATATCAGAAATGGATTTTCACAACGATTAATCTAGAATGATTAGATATATGCATTTGATATATTATAAATCATTGAAGATTCGCTCATTTTCCTTTTTGTCAATCATTTCAGTCGTATAATGAAAACGATTGTATCTGGAAAGAATAAATAATGTATACAACCACGTTGAGGTATCGTGCATTCACGCATCCTTTCAGGTTTGGAATATAATTAGTTGGAGATCTGAGGATACAATCTTTCTAAGCAATCAGATTATTACTCGCTTTTCTCCCATGCTGTCTTTACGTTTGCTCATTCTACATTCACTAAAACTAGTTGTGCATCCCTTATCGTATACACGAATATGCTGATGGTTTCACGTATATTATGTCAATAAAAGATTTTATTTATTTATTTTTGCCCATCGTTACTTTAAGTAGAATTGTAAGTATATATGCCAAGAATAGTAAATTATACAGTTGGTTACATAAATCAATTATACTAATAGTACTAATAGTACTAATAGTTTTTTAAATTATTTGATTATATTTCAATCTTCTGAAAATGAGGTAAAAATTTTATCGATAGAATTCAAATAAATACCACGATCATATATATATATATATATATATATATATATATATATATATTGTCATCAAATTTTTATATATAAAGTGTAAACTTAAGGGAAAAAACGGTTACTTAGCATTGTTATAATACATATTAAAAGCATAAAAACATTTGCATATTATTAATTATTAATTGCGGTACTTAATTATAATGTAGGTAGATGAATTCATTAATAAATGTGAAAACATTATCTATAAATTCTCTAAACTTCATCAAATTACATAATCATCGTTATAAAATGTGAAGAAAATAATCTATAAAATATAATTATATATTAAGTTTGTTACAATAATAAAGATTTGTATTATAAACGTATAATCATTTTAATTT